CACAATTAAATTATTTTTCTATAAAAAGTTGAACACCCAATACCAACTCACTCTTTTTTCATATTAACTCATGTCTAAGGTGCCTAAATTTCAACACATGTGCTAAAAACCTACACTAACCCTTAGATCATACTCAATGGACCATTTAAGACTCATGTAACATACGACAATCATCCAAATACACACACATCATGAATTCAATCCTCAACCCCTCAAATCACAAAAACACAAAAAGAAGGTAACTTTGCATTAATTGGTCAACCTTCTTTCAAAAAAACCTAAATGCACTTTTATCCTACTTACATTAGTATTTTGGCCCTATACAAGTTTTACAACCTCACTATACTAACCTAGGGCAAAAAATACATTTGATTTTCACAACGATATTGTAAGTAGTCAAAATAATGAGATAAAATCCTAGTTGGCAATTTAACTACTAAAATACACATATAAGTAAATCCAGAGGCCTACTAGCACAATTTTTGCTTAGTCTTAAGCCTCTGGTCATTTTTTCCAATCTTGAGCAGATGAACTAGGCCTTAAAAATATTGAAAGATAATGGGTGAGTATATATATTTAGTAACCAAGGTCAACTTAGTCTATACAGTTGCATATAAATTAAAAATGGATGTAAATGACAATAAATTCAAATATCATACACATATAGAAATTATAGCCTTAACCAAAATAATAACAACCATATGACTGGGCATGAAATCATTGAACATATCACAATTATTTACATCTTAAGGTCACAAAAATAACAACCATACACCCCTAAAATATAACTAACCATAATAATAATAACCATATAGACAAAACAAAATATATGATCAATGCCAACCTTATACCCTCCTATTACCTCTGACATGAAACTGGTGACTAACAGTGGCTATGTCTGTAACTTAGACTAATCAAGTCTTTCACTTGTGAGGAGCTACCCGGCCAGTGTTAACTCACTTACTTGTGCATTGTGATTTTCCTCAATACTAACAACCATGGGGTGTTACACCCCTAATCTAGCCTCCTTATAAATCAATGAAAACTAGTTAAGTTTGAGTCTTTTAAAGAATAAGTGAGATAGTCCCTAATCAATATAGGACAAAGGCTACCTCTCAATTCTAATGGTCAGTGCTAATGTAAGTTTTTGATTCCAACAGTAAGCCACTAGTACCACGTGGATTTATCAATCTACTTCTCTCCTTAGGCAAACTTTCACCAATGATCATGCTATATACATATTATACATGCTATGCAATTCAACCAACAATCATATCATATCTTATTCATAATCATATTTTCTCCACTATATAACACATACCAATTATCATTTATCATTAACATAAAAGCACATTCTCAAACATCAATGTTAGTCATAATTGAACAAACATGCATATTATTTATTGCAACATTAAGTTCTCAAGCACTTGAATAAATTTTTAAATGATTTAGTTCAATTAACAAATAATTAACACACAACCATACAAATAAGATTTTTTTCCTGATTACCTTAAATCTTTGAGAGGTCAAAAGTTTACCTTTTAAAATATTAACTTTCAAAACTTCTCCTCAAGCTTGAATGGTGCCAATCAATTAATCTACAATTACATCACATGGACATTTATTAATATCCTTTTTGATGAGAAATTTCTAACATTTCACTGTATATTCTCCATTTCATCAGAGTCATAAACTCACTCTCAATCATATCCATTGGGCCTACTAAATTTTAATGACCCACATTGACATAAATGAGTCATTAAACTACTATTAATGGCTTCAACACAACCCTAACAAACATATTTATTGTCATTTTTGGGTATTAATGGTCCCCAACCACTAATAACTCACAAAATCATAAATGCGGGATTTAAATACTTTAAACAACCCTTATTATATCCATTTTAGTCAATGGATTCAAACCTATAGTTCATATGGATCGAAAATCATTTCCCCAACTCAAACTCTAACTTTAATCCTCATGATATTGGAAGAAAAGGGAAGAGAAAGACATAAGATACTTACCTTGTGAGTTAGAAAGCTCTAAAATATTTTTAATGGTCCCCAAGTCCATGCCCTAGCAAAGTAAATATCATTCTTTTCATTTCCTCATTTTCTCTTCTTTAATTTTTTGAATAGACATAAACTAGTTTAAACTGAATTTTGGTTGTGTGTCACGGCTCATGACACAAAGAGACTCATCTCTTGTCTCTATGTGCCACAGTGAATGTTTTTCATGCTGCGGCATGTGACATAGAGAAACTTTCTTCAATTCTTTCTCACTTTTTGATACCCAGTGGCCCGACTTCACTTCGAACCTATATATAGGGTTGAAATCATAATCAATTATATAATTAGACCTCTTTGGCCACACATCACATTAATTCATTATCCTCATTAAGCCTAGTTAATTGGGTTTAAATTTTTATGATGTTATAGAAAAAGAGAGAGGGGGAAGGGGTTAAAAAAAAAGAAAAAGGCAGGATGGAATTTCAAAATTGAGTATTTTTTATGGAATTTAATTCCACCAATTTTGGTGGAATTGAATTCCATATGGAATTGATTTATGGCATATCAAACTAATTTTTTTTTTAATTTCATTTCCATTTCCAATTCTAAGAGCACTAACAAGACCTAAATAAAAAAGAAGGCTTGAAACAAGGTTGCTGGAAAGGAATTATCAGTTGACCTTCAAAAAAAAAAAAGAAATAATACAGTGAAAAAGAATCATGAATAAGCACCAAGTGTCACATTGACAGAGATTTTGGAAGTTAGCTTAAAAAGTCAGCCAAAATTACACTGAAGGGATCTATGTTCAATAATATTCTAAAAATATTTTTAAAATCACTTTCATTCCATTATTTCTCTCCATATAGTTTTTAACTTTTAAAAAGTACCAAAAATATTTTCTAAAAGTTAAAATTTAGTGTATCAAACATGCTCTAAACAAGTTTATTATGGTATGAAATTCAGAAAGGAAACTAAATTATATTATACTATTTATAAGTTTTATACACAACTTGTTCCGTTCTTAATTATAAGTCTCAGTTTTTCTAAATATACATATCCTGAAAATACTAAAATCTAGTTGTGTAAAAAAATTTTTTAGCTCTACCCTTAATTAAATGCCACCATTGGAGAATGCATCTTTATTAAGATAGGTAATTTTGTTTATGAAGAGTAGTTTAGAAAAAATTCAGAAAATTTGTGACATGGGTTTCGAGGCCTCCTATAAGCCCATTTCTTGAATTGTTTTCAACCCCATACACTTATGGGCTGTTGAAGTCACTGTTTTTAGACAGATCGAAAATATTTTCTTTCTTTTTTTTTTAAATATAACTGTTAATTTTTATATTTTTAATGCGTTTTAGTATTAATTTATATTTTTTTATTGCTTCAAATTTATTAAATTTTGTCTTTCTGCCATATTAGTCTTTATTATCACTGACAGAGTTTGATCTACTGATTTGCATATAACTTTGTTAATTTTATTGCTGAGTTGGTAAAATTATGATGAATTAAACATTGTATAAGTAAAATAATTACTAACATTTCTTCCTGTTTGTCTTAATTGTCATGTCATTTTTTTAAAGCTTCATTCATTGTGTGTTTAAGGATTTTAATTTAATGTTATGATTACTTCTTTTTTTCCTTCTACTCATTTTCAATAGAACTCATCATAATTTTAACAAATCAGTACGCGAAGTAATAAAGTTTATGTTCACAGTAGCCACTGTTAAGTCTTTCTGGTCATATTTAAAATTATAGGAACTAACATTGCATACATAAAAGTTAAGAAACTTAGAGTAATTGAAAAAAGTAGAGAAACTAATACTAAAGCACGCTAAAACTATAAAAGCCAAAAATTATATTATTTTCATTTTTTTAAGAAAACAAGTTTTTAAATTTAATGATATTATATTTAAAAATAAATAACCAATAATAAAAATATTGTTCTTATAAGTAATGATGATTGAAAAATAATAAATATTTAAGTGCAGGTCATTCCAAAATCGTGTGATGTATATATAAAAAATTAATCATGAGCCATCATTTGTTTGAAAATAGAAAGAAGAGAGCCAAGCACCTTTCATGAAAATAAATAATAGTAATAATAGTAATAGTAGTAGTAATAATAATAAGCTAAATGGAAAGTCAAAAACATTCTTGGTCAATTGAAATGGCGACTTTAAAGAGATTAGGGAGATTTGGTTGAGATGTTGAGCACAAGCCAAAAGCTAAGCTAAGTTGAGATTTTGTATGGTTCATATTCAATCATCAAATTAATTGAGTCATCATATCTTTGTGAAAAGAAAAGGAGAGAGCTGGGGACATGTTTAGGGGAAAAAAAACAACAAAGAATATGCATAAACAAATCAAAAGTCGCTTTCTATAGTATGCCTCAAATTTAAAAATTTCAGAGGTCTTAAATGTAAGCTAAACAAACTCAAATATCTAATCAAATTGAACACTTCTTTTACTAAAAAGATTATGATGGTTTAAACAATAAATCTCTGGTATGAGCTCATAAGAATGCAAAAAAAAAAAAAAAAACTCTTCAAGAGCGTTACCCTTAATTAGAGATCCATTAATGTTTGAATTTACTAACCTAGTCAAATAATCATATAATAAATATATATAAGAATACAGAACGTGGTTGGAAAGAGAGACACAGAAGTTCCTCCATGATGAATCTTATTCAGGTCTACCACTCCTTTTTAAGGAAACGATAAGTAGGTCTTAGAATATCAATTTAATGATAATTATGTTCCAAAACATCTTGAAGAAAGATAAATAGCAAATATCTATTGAAATAGTTGTAAATATGAAAATCTTAATTGAAAATTAGTTTGCAATTCGAGTACACCACCCCCCCCCCCCCCACAAAAAAAAGAAAAAAAATCTCCTCTAGGGAGAATCATCAATGACTTCTTTGTTGCCCTGCTTCTCTCTGTTTAACAAGATAAGCTAGATTTCAATTGAGATGACCAAATCATGGGTTATTTCAACAAGCAAATTTCTGGATATTATAAGAATAGTCCCAACTAGGATTGAATCAAATAACTGAGACATAGTTTCGTCAAAATTACAGATACATATATCTCATAAATCATGTAACTCTGTTGAATGTCCAAAGGGAATTTAGTCCACCACTTCAGGCCCCCTCAGAATTCAAGAAAAGGAGACACTTTTTGTCAGAGAAGCTTGAAGATGTAAGATGTGGAGTAAATCCAGAATAGTGGCCATCAATCTTTGCCCAGAATGCTTCATTCATCTTCTTGATCTCTTGCTTCTCCATGAATGGCTGAGCTGCATAATCCTCCCATGGCATCCACTATACAGCAAGAGAAGAAGACATGAATACAGCAAACTAATCAGTAAAATACATTGGAACAAATCAGAATAGATCCCATTGAAATGAGCGTTTGACTTGATCACTTCTTGTGATCCACTCGACTATCTAACAATTTTACATCAGGAACATGATTCAGTGTGATGGGATTGGGCTGCACATTTCATTTATAAACTCATGTTTTGTTTCCTTGCTCTCTCTCTCTCTCCCCCCCCCCCCCTATTTGAAAATACTAGACGAATTAACTTTTGACATGAAGAGCCTACAATAACAAGAAACAGCTTCATCCCACTAGAGGGATTGGCTACGTAAAGAGTCTACATTGCAGAAAAATTATGCACCTGGGCAGCTTCTATCTCTTGTTCTTGCACTTGGATGTCAAAAGAAAGGGGGCGCAGAATGCACAAGACGAATAGCTCCGACTTCGTGAAGTATGTCTCGAGCATTTGTCTGATGAAAGAAGACAGAACTGTTTAGCACTTTGTAAACTTACAGATATCCAAACTGATGAACAGGTTCCTCATTTTCTAGAAGTAACAATAAATTGTCCGATTTGTATTATGTTTCTGGCCCCAGAGAGAGAGCACTGAATCAATCTGTATCCACCTGAAGGCTAACACTTCCACAAATTCTGTGTCAACCTGAAAATTGAGAAAGTCCCAAGAACTTAGGCATGTGTATCATTCACTGGTTCTGCAATTTATAGGTACTACAATCAGAATACTTACTCCTGTTTCTTCTTTGACCTCTCTTATTGCTGCTGCACATAAGTCTTCTCCCTGGAGAGGACAAGTTGAAGTGAGTAAATTATACACACCCATCATTGCTTCTAAAAAATCTGCAGCGACATGATGAGCCACATATTTACCTGATCAACAGTTCCAGTAGGGAATTTCCAGACTCCAATAAAAGGTCCGCTTTTTTCTTTTACTGCTAAGATCTAATTCATAACAAAACAGAAACTATGACATTGACGACAAAATGCAAAATAGAACTAAATCTGAAGAAATCTTCCCAGTTACTATTTTGCCAGTGAGTACTGATCACAGCCCTAAAACTGTGAGGGAGCTTTTCCAATTAAACTGTGAGGCTCATTGTGCAACTGCACTAATCCTCTGTTTGGAATGAGAGGAAAAAAGGAAGGAGAGAAAATTAGGGAGGAAAAGTAAAAGAAAAAGACATTTTCCCTCTCTAGCATAAAGTTTTTCCTTTAGTGCATGTTTGGTACACAGAAAAGTGTTTTCTAGAAAGGAAATAAAGAATATATCTAGAAAGAAAATGAGATAGGTGAATTTACCATTTCCTATCTAGAAAATACTTCTCTACAAACTAAACATTGCATTAGTTTCCCCCTTTTCTAAAGGGAAATTAGGAGAAAACAAGGATGCAAAATGCCTTTCCCCTTTAGTTTTCTCTCATCCCTATTTTCTTACCATTCCAAACAAAGCCTAAATCTTGACATATAGGAGGCAAATACCTCTCGTTTTTCATTCATGACAAATGCACCAACACCCACTCGATGCGTAGCATTAGCCGGAATAGTATTTGCACTTTCAAGTATTGAGTATACAAGCATTAAATATTCTGGTTCTGCATGGTGATACCCAAATCCTTCCTGTACAAAAGAGCCACATAACTAATGGTAAGTTTACAAAATGTGCATCAATAATGATTTCTTTGATCAAACTTCTCAAGCACAAGGGTACCTTAACTAGAGGTTCAACGACACTGACTAGATGTATTGGTAACTTTATCCAAATGGTTTTCTTGCCCTGCCAGACAAAGTTGATTCATCAACTCAACAGGATTAAGACACTGACGGATTCTTGATTCCCTCAGGACAAGCATATCATTATACCCACAAAAAAAAAAAAAAGCAAAAGCTTTTTGATGTCATAAACCAGTCCTTGTGTGATTCAAGTTATGTTTCAAATAACTGACAAGCTTTTTATTTTTGTGCGTGAAGAAAGAATTCTGCTAATTGTTTCCAGCGATTTTAAAATATCTCAAGCACAAAACCAATCCAGAAAGCCAAACGGAAAAGAATTTGAGTGAACTTCACAAACCACAACCGAGTGAAATAAATATACAAGTTCCGCATAATCAAAGAGACATGAAGAAATTTGGCCCAAAAAAAAAAAAACCAGAGATGAAGAAAATACACCAACTTCTAACAAGAAATTAAAAGCACTAAAAAGGCATGATGCAACTGTGTGTATTGGTGAAGAGGAAAAGAAAAATATGTATGTATGTAAAACTACATTTTATTATTATTATTTTTTTGACATGATACCACCATGACATGAAGCAAAAACAGTACGTAATTTCACAAGGAAAAAGCCCTGCATCTGATCCACTTTGGCATTTTATCCATCAAATTCATAAAATCAAAGGGGATGAAACTAACATGAGAAGAGAAAAGAGTAAGAAGATATGCCGCTAGTATTCATCACAATCTCGTGGTGCTTCCTTTCCTTGCCCTCTCACAGGCCAGAGCCAATAACATGAAGCATGAATGATACAAATCTAACAGTAGAAAAAGCCTCATGTCTAGTCTCTAGTGTCACAAGCATGTATTCATCAAACTGGTGAAATCAATGAGGGCGAAATTAATGACAATATAAAACTAATATGAGAAGCTACCAGCTGTCTCCAATGTGAAATTGAAGCTCTAAGAATCGACAGAAAGGTTGTCGAATCCATAGGCCCATCCATTTCCACAATAACACCGCCATAATCATCATCAGTTGAAGATAATAGCTTAATTTCTCCCACGCCATTCTCATGAACCACTTGAGGAGCAGTTGCTGCTGAACTTGTTGAGTTTGTCATAGCCTGAATTGGAAAAGGGTTTGCCAATTTAATCTTGACCGTGAAGGGAACGTGAGAAGATGCAGCATCAGACTAAAAACCAAAGACCATTTCATTTTACCGAGACTTTTCTCAGAAAAAGAAGAAAAATTGTGTCAAGCATTCCTTCAAACAGGAAAACAACACAGTTTAAACAAGGGCTAACAGTCCTCATAACTGGTTCGTCTGCTATGATTAGAGAAGAGGGAAGAACAGGACATTCATAGTAATATTAAGTATGCATGAATTACTGAGTTCAATCAAAAGCTTGCAAGCTTCAGAGCTTTTCTGCATCAAATTATTCCAAAACCGGATAAAAGTACTGTCTAAAAACTAGGTTCAAAACTTTCAATTATACATCATACACACTTAAAGGAAATATATAATTTCTATGAACTGAAAACGATTAAGTGAAAATTGTGTCCAGATCGACCCAATAGCATTGATGCAAACTGTTTGCGTTTGAAACTTGACAAATACAAAGGCTAAAAGAACTGAAAATGATTACCATAAAAAATAGGAAAGCTAAACCATAAGTTGATAACCGAAGCAGAAGACGCTAATGAAAACTCAAAACTTGGTCTTAAGCAATAAGACAAAAGGGGCATCGAACGAGACACACAAAACCAAAATTAAACGACATTCAGAAACGAACACACCTAGGCTTAGTCGCTTAGACGGTGTTCGGAGTTCACCACCTCGCTAAGCAGCTCTTCTGGTTAGTGGTATTCCCGAAGATTGAGGATATGAAACCCAAAAGTTGGGACTTTGTTGTCGTCGTTGCGTGTGAACCAAATTCCACGATAGAATCTGACACTTTTTTCTTCCTTGTCATCGTTATGGTTTTGTAGTAAGATTTTCATCCCTTGAGAACTGACTTTGACGTAGAAATTGGAATCATTAAGTTCAAAGGTTTGAAGTATGAAAACTTTACGCACTGTGGTGGGGAAGTGACTTGCGAGTGGGCACATGATGAAGTCACGACGGGACTCAGCAGTAGCTTTGTCAAAGAAAAGGGCCCACAAGGCATTCCCCTTCACTGTGCCAATATAATATCGAGGCGGTATGGTGGTGGTCCCCCCGGGGGAGAATTTCATTTTAAGAACATAAAAAAGAAACATATTAGATCCCACAGATTTTAAAAATTTAATTCAATCCGCAAGAATTAAATTAAAAATAAATTGAATGTAAAAAAAAAGTGAAAATACTTTCAGTTTAAATATTAAAAAAAATCAATCACCATTGTTAGAACACCACCATCGACTGGAACCTCACCAGTTATGACAACTAGTGGACCTTCATCATCGGAGCTTCGGCTGCCGACTGAACCATTGTCAACGATAGCTAGAAAATTAATTTCTCCAAAGGTAGCTAAGGTGGATGTATAACCCATTACACTTTGGTTCACCAAAAAGTTTTAAACCATCAAACAATTCAACCCATTTAATTATATAATGCATAAAATTATATTTATAATAAATCTTATTTTCAAACTACTTAATTATTATGTTACTTGTTAATCGCATAACTTTACTTGTTACTACCTTAATAGGATTTGTTAATTACTTAATTTTTTTTCGTTAACCTCATGACTCCAATAATAGAACTAAATCACTTGTTATTTGTTTAACTATACTTGTTAATACCTTAATAGGACTTGTCAATTACTTAACTTTTTTCGTTAAGTCTATAACTTTCATAACAGAACTACATTACTAGTTAGTCATATAATTGTACTTGTTAATACGTTAATATGATTTGTTGATTATTTAAATTTACTTCTCAAATCCATGACTCCTTCTACTAAATTACATTACTTGTTAATCATGTAATTTTATTTGTTAATTACACAACAATATTTGTTAATTGTACAGCTTGATTTGTTAATTATGCAACTTTATTTGTTAATTCTGTAACTCCCTTAAAATTATTTGTCTAATAAATTTTATTTTCAAACCACTTAAGTATTATAACAAGAAGTATACTTGTTAAAAGCCTAATATAGCTTATCATTTCTTCCATTTTAATTGTTAATATTATGGGTGTTGCTCTCTCTCTCTCTCTATATATATATATATATATGCTTATATAATTGGTTATCTAGTTTGATAAATACTGATAAGAAAGACCTGACTGTTGTCGCTTTTGTTATCTAACAAACTCAATTTTCTACATAAATTATACATTCATTTAAGAAGTGACAATAGATAATTAACAAGTATTTTTGAGAAATTAATAAGTAAAGTTATGCAATTAACAAGTAATTTAGTTGTTTTTTCGGAACAACAGTTAAATAAGTCTTATTATGGTATTAACAAGTATTGTTGCGTAATTAACAAGTAAAGTTACATGATTAGCAAGTAATGCAGTTCGGTTGAAGAAGTCATGGATCTAAAAAGTACATTCAAGTAATTAACAAGTCCTATTATAGTATTAACAAGTACAGTTACGTGATTAACAAGTATTGTAGTTCTATTGTGGGAGTCACGAACTTAACAAAGAAAGTTAAGTAATTGACAAGTCCTGTTAAGGTATTAACAAATATAGTTAAGCGATCAACAAGTAATTTAGTTCTATTACTAAAGTCATGGGGTTAACAAAGAAAATTAAATAATTAATAGGTCTTGTTAAAATATTAATAAGTAAAGTTACTCGATTAACAAGTAACGTAATAATCAAGTGGTTTAGAAATAAGGTTTATTATATATATAATTTTATGCATTATATGATTGAATGGGTTGAATGACTTGGTGGTCTAAAATTTTTTTGGTGAACTAAAGGGTTATGGGTTCTACACCCACTTTGGCCTCCTTTGGAGAAACTAATTCTCCATAATTCTCTAGCTACCTCCGACGGTGGTTCAGCCGACGATCAGAGCTCTAGCGATAAAGGTCCTGTGGTTGTCGTCACTGGTTAGGCTCCGATCACCGATGGTAGTGCTCTGGTAATAGTGGCTAATGATTCTTTTTAATATTTGAACTGAAAATATTTTCATCTTTTCTACATTCAACTTATTTTCAATTTAATTTCTGAGGATTGCACTGAAGTTTTAAAATCTTTCGAGACCTATTAGAAAATAGGTTTCTTCCCAGGTCCTTAAATGAAATTCTCCCACAAAAAAGTGCCAATATAATACTAAGGTGGTATGTTGCTCGATACCCTGAATGAGCACCCATTATCTTAAAGTATTTTGTGTAGCATTTTCACCCTTTAAGTAATTAAACCGAAGCACTGAATACCCTAATGTTAAATATCACAAATGTTTGTCTATAGGCCCTATTTTTCTATGACATGTAGTGGTGCCCATTATAAATTTATTATTACCGAAGCCTCATTTTTGGAAACTCATTACAGTGCTAAAAGAAAGCTTGGTTTTCCGACCATTGAGGAGGATTTGTCAAAAGAGGAAGGAATTTGTAGTGAGACATCTAGAAAGGATGTTGAGGAGAGTGGACTTACTGGAGTTAGAGGGGTCCATAAGGGTAATGAAGGTACTAGGCTTGGCATAGCTAGTGAGGCCTTCTAAGAAATCAACATTGGCCTTGTTCTCCCTCCACAGTGATGGCATTAAAAGATATAGCAAAGACATTGGGAGAACAAGGATTGACATCTCGAGGTAGATCTATGTGGCAGAGAAAAGGGACGACGAATGCCTAATTTTGTTAATGGCAATGAAAATAATGTCACCTGTGTTGTCCATTGTTCCTTGGTCAACTAAACTCAAATCTATACAAGCTTGTCATCAATTTTATCCCCTTCCCTTAGCTGCACTTTATTTTTGGCTTTGCTCCACTCACATCTTGTAGGTCATAATAATATAAGGCTTTCTCTATACCCAAATTGACTCAACAAATGTAGCAAATCTCCTCTAGAAAACTTGCTTTGTTTCTGAAGAAAGAAATAGAGCAAGGCTTTGCTTGCCAAAATCATGTAGAGAAAGAGAGAGAGAGAAGTTAACTAACACCATGCATGCAGTATAAAGCCTTTTTGGATTGCAAAAAGTATGTAATAGAAAATGCAAGCATTTAAAAAATACATAAAAGAAAAGTATAAAAATAAGAATATACAACCTTATCAAGATAAAACCATGTTCAATCATTGTTTAAGGATCATAAGAAGTGGATTTTGACATACATTTAGAATGTTTTTTCGGTTGGAATGTCAACATCTCTAAAAGTATATTCTCATAGTATGACAAGTATACTTGTGTTGATTCTACATATTATGAGTATGTGTGATTAGTTCTCTTTACAGTGAAGGGATGAAAATTATGAAAGGCCAAGGATTGAAGTGAAGGCATTTAAAGGGGAAAAGAGAGCGAGAATAACGTGATAACTTATATATGAAGAAGGAAGGAAGAGAGAGAGAGAGAGAGAGAGGAGGGTAGTTTAATGCATATAAGGAAAGAGGAATATGATTGTAGGGAAATAGAGAGGATATATTCTTATCTATGAGGAATAAGTAGGCAAATAGAAACAGCTAGTAATGGTGGCTATGGATGAGGAGGAGGAGGGGGAGAATGAAGAAGGAGACATTAGTGGGATCGGTTAGTTGTGTTGCAAACAACGGGTAGAATTTTAGTTTAAGTCTTGCCAAAGACATTGTCTTGAAGAGCTATTCCACCACACAACACCGGTTGCATAATAGCTCTCCAAGATTAAACAAACTTGTCTTGCAAAGAGTAATAGGGGCAGGGAACAACAAAGAGCAGCAAAATAATATACCCAAGTAGCACAGACAAAGGAGGAAGGAAGAAGAGGCTCAAAATCCCATAAAAATCAATTATTGAATGTGGGCTTAAAACTTATTTAATGGTTTAATGAAGATTAATCTCATTTAAAGGAAGTAAATTGACCATCCTGAAACTCTTCAAATTCAAAATTCCAAAGTTCAAAAACCAAGGTCTTTAGATAAGCAAGATAATAAATTAAGAAATTATTTTCACAAAATAATTTTAGTAAAAAAAACCCAGTACCTCTTGAACTCACATGCAGGGGATGAATTGGTTGTTTTCAATTGTAATTGCAAGCCCACTTCTCCTTTAAGCCTTTTATTAGCCCACTTTTATTTCTTAGCATATACGCACAAGAAGCTCTCCTCATGTAAACAATATGGGACTTTTCTTTGACACATTATTCAATAATTACAACAAGTTATTAGTAGAAAGAGTTAGTTGAAAGAAAAGAGGGGAGACAGAGGGGGGGTATTATTGCTGGTAGTTATTGCTTAAATAATAATAAATTGATAATGGGGCCCACCATAGATCATAAAAAATAGGGCCCACAAATGGACATTTATGATATTTAAGATTAGCATACTAGGTACTCCAATTTAATTATTCAAGGAGTGAAAATGCTATACAAAATACTTTAGAGTATTGAGTGTTCCTCCAAAAAAAAAATTCAGGGCCCTTTTTTTTAAAGTTTGCAATTTTAAAAATTCCCCAAAAAATGGAACCAAGCCATGAATAAAGAGGAGAAAATGAAGATATTCAATCATTATAATGAAAAGATTACAAAGAGAAAATCCTTCAATTTAAAGGATATGCAATTACCCTGAAATTGGAAAATGACAATTTTTATTGTTAACCTCCTTCTTTAATTAGGATTTAATTGCTTTATCTCTAGCATAATATGATGCTTTTTTACATAGATTTTAAGGTTAATAACAAACTAACACTAGGGGCCTTAACTAATCCAACATTTATAAAATAATTTTTTTTAGTTTTTTCCTTTGGGAGAATTAAGGAAAAACAATGGTAGAAATTAATATCTTTTTTCTTTAATTTTCTTTCATTCATATTTTCTTCCTATTACAAACAAAGTCTAAATATTGAGCTCATCCTAATTATCACAAAGCGGGAAGATTCTTAGCATATAAGGAAAGGAAATTA